CATCTTCTAGCTTTAATTATCTGGCAAGATCAGAGCCGGGCGAGGTCAAGTTCCAAAAATCAGTGTGCTCAGTGGTCATATTTAGAGTTTCTCTTTTAATAAAGATGTTTCTTAGTGAGTGATGATTATGTAGCTTTGCTAAGTGTTTGAACTGTAGGCCAACCTGGTTAACGTTAGAGGCAACATGTGGTTAACATCTGGCGTAGTTTAGACTCACATCTGGTGCCAGAACCGAAACCCAGCATAGAGCCAGCTGTGGTCACACAGCAAGCTGAAGCGTCAAAGAACTGCAGTTCCTATTACGGCCACTTGAGGGTGGCTTGTTTCTGCGAGTATCAAAGTCCCTAAAAACACAATTCAACTCAAACTTTAAAGACCTTTGAACAGCCTCGAGAACTGTTGTTTAAGAGCACTTTAAAAAAGACAAGTCTGGATCCTTGGAAGCAAAATATATTTTTAAAAAACAGTTAAAATTGTATAAAGGCTTTGGCTGTTTTTATGATGTTAATGGTCGATTTTTAATGCCGTTATCAGATATGGCTCTATGATTATCATTGTATAATACAGACGGGGCTGATCATATATTTATTTATGTTGGTTAGCTTTACTGTTTCTGCTCCATCTTTATTTTTTGAGATTTCATCTTTTTCCAACGTCTTCATCACGTGTCTTCCTCTGCTCCTACAGGTATTTAGCCATTTGCTACCCGCTCCGCTCCCGAGAGATGAGGACGCCAAAGAACGCACTCACCTCCATCGGCCTCCTCTGGGCCCTGGCCTTGGTTTTCTCTGGACCGTATCTCAGCTACTTCTCACAGATGGACCTGGCTGGCACTGTTGTGTGCATTCCTACATGGGAGTCCAAACCTCGCATCATAATGGATATGTGCACGTTTGTCTTCGGCTACCTCGTTCCCGTGCTGGTGCTCGGCCTCACCTACGCCCGCACCATCCGATACCTGTGGACCAGCGTGGGCCCCTTGAAGGACATGTCCGAGTCGAGGCGGGCCAAGTGGAAAGTCTCCAAGATGATCATCATAGTCGCTGCTCTCTTCTGCCTTTGCTGGCTTCCCCATCACCTGGTAATCCTCTGCATGTGGGTGGGCCGATTCCCGCTCAACTACACCACCTATGTCCTCCGCATCCTCTCACACTTTGTGGCCTACGCCAACTCCTGTCTCAACCCCATCGTCTACGCCCTCGTGTCAAAGCATTTCCGCAAAGGCTTCAGGAAGGTGTTCAGCTGCTCGCTGAAGAGGAGGGAGGTGAATAAGGTGCATGTTCAGGCAGTGAACATGGTCAGCAGCATCGATGTGTCCAATTAAAGGTAACAGCCTCAGAGGAAGAGCCAGCCATCTACCACATGCTGAGTTCTAAACTAACAACGCTGATCACAGAAGATCAAGGTCTTCACAACAGTCTCCCGACCTCCAGGACATTTTTAGCCATCAAAGGCTGGCAGATGGCAACATTGTCTACAAATTCAGTCGAGGAGTCTGTTACATAAGACTGTTTCGCAATCTTTACTTACATGTAAATTAAAATGTACTAAGTCGGATCAGCTAATTAAAGTCAAAATCAGCACGAGAGAAGACGATCTTCACGAAACTATCTTAAGGTTGAGATGTCTCAGTTAATTTAAAAATATATAACAGATACTAGCTTTGGATTAAATTGATCCAATAGATGTCTGGGCACCCTCAGTGATGCTTTCTAAGGCCAGCACTTGGTGTGATCGCCTGATTGGATCCTGGATTTGATGACGGGCGTTCCTATGAGTGAATTGATGTAGTCTGTTCGATGTGATGCCAAACCTGACTGGTGTTCCCCACTGGGACTTTTTCTGTCCATGCATTGTCCCAGAAATGATCAGTGTACTTGAATGAGTTGTTGTACATAGAGAATACTCATGGTCCCCATTGGATGAATCGGACCTTCCCTCTATCCCAGCCGGCCGGCAGGTGAAACCTTAGATGTGACCTGTAGTTTCTGTCGCTCTGGGCGTGTGAGCTTGAGAACAAAACAGTCACTGTCTTTAGCTTTTATTTCATGCTGTTTATATGCAGTAGTGGAGAAATCTGTGTATGGAAGGTTGTCTACTGACACAACCCGGCTCAAAAAGGAAAGACCAGACAAGGCAGGGACTTAGAAAATGATCATTTATCACCCAAACACGACTAAATCAAAAGAATGTGTTCATCAGGAGTGTAAAGCACACACAAAGTGTGTAGAAAGTAAGGAAAATCCCAGGAATTGTGCTGTAGATAAGACAGTCCGAGTCAGAGTCGGGACAGAGAGCCTTGAAGAAAGGAGGGAGCTTTGCTTCGCTGGGCTCAGGGAGCTAATTATCCCCCCATTAGCTCCTGCAGAACAAAGCACGGCACAAAAACCAAAACTAAGACAAGCATTTTCTGACTCGTTCTCCGGCGTCATTCTAACACCTTAGTTCACCTCAGGATTACTGCTAATCGCTTAAAAAGCTGTAATTAAATAGATAAATAATTGATTGATCGCACAAGCGAAATTACAGTGTTACAGCAGCAGCATGAAAAATAAACATAGTACAGTTTACAATAAATAAACAACATGAAGTGGCACAGGTGTGCAGTCAGAGCTTTACACTGTGAGAGTGCAAAAGCACACATCAGTATGTTTGAGTAAAATGCAACTGAAAAATATAAAATCATTTAAATAATTAATCATTAAGGAAAATGTGCTCAGCATTAACTGAATGTGTCGCAGTCAAGTAAATTTTATTTGAATATATTCCATTAAATTCATTTTTTTTTATTTAGAAAAAACTTTAATGGAACATTTACAGTTGAAATGGGGCCGTTACGCACATTTGGGATGCGTACCTGAATTCAACATTTTGGTTTCCATATTCAAACATTTATTAGTAGTTGAAAAATAAAGGTGTAAAAACAGTTGGAAAAGGCTCAGCCTCCACGCCATCCGCCCGAAAGTTGATCGAGACACTGACATTTACATATTTAAACTTGGTGAAATTAAACAATAAAGTCTGATTACGACACTAAATATTTTATTAGCTCCGTTAACTTCTGTTTTATGTTGTGCTTCAGTGTAGCTGCTACATTATTACATGCCAGCTGTGCCTCGTAATGCATGTTGGTGCAGGCGGGAGATCTGTGAGCGTTAAAATCATCACAAATCAGCAGAGTTTCAAACAGTTTTCAGTGCATTTGTTTTGGTTTTAGTTGTAACAGTTTCAGTCGCCGCATTAAAACAACAAAAAGTGTGTTTAATGCACCCGGTCCTGCTCTGCGTGTTTCTGTAACTGCTATTCAGCTACATACATATGTTGATTCTTACTGTATGTCATAAAGGGCAAAATATCATGAATCTACGTCTCACGCGTGGAGTGTTTCTCTCTCAGGACCGTAACAGAAGGGGTTCATTTCAGCTGTGTCTAAATGACCTGATGCTTTTATTAATATGTAACTCTGGTGTTTTGTGTGCACATGTACTCAGCATGAGGACGCTGCGCAGGAGGTCACGCAACAAGGCCCAGAGCTGTGCTAAAGACACACAAAGAACATTTTAAAGCGCGAGGCCATGTTAGCATTTCTTATTTAGTGACTTGACTTTAAAAAGCACTTTTTAAAAGTGTGTCAGCCAATTACAACAAAAAAACAGAGGGATGCATAAAAACCAAGACAAAGATAAAGCGCTGCTTATTAAATGCTTTTTTGTGGTAATAAACAATAAATAAATAACATTTTTAGATATAGGCAAGCTGTGAATCATGAAGATGTGAAATACAATAAATCGTCATTTTCATGTCACAGCTGACTCACTGAGTCAGACATCTTGTTGAAATCACACTTTTCTTTAATCTCAGGCTGCTCATCAGGTCATTATGAACAGATCGCTCATTAAAATGGCAAAAAATATTTCTGTCAGATGGTTAAAGGTCTGGTGTAAGAGCTTCTTGTTTTAATATATGTATGTAGGCTGTCAGTATGTATACTTTTACTGGTCAGCTGCTGTTTGTTGATTGTATTTAGCTGGCAGTGTACCAACAGAGAGCTGATCTGTTACTGTGAAGTGAGGCGTTCCTGGTGTTTTATATGCACAAGTGTTGCTGTGACGTACAGATCATGGTCAGAGCTGTTAAAATAACACCACTGAGCTGCATCTGAACATGTTGTTTTTGGTGTCTGTGAAAAGAGACACATGTAAATAACTTTGTTGGTTTAAAGCACTTATTTCTGTCCATTCTGCTACTGTTGTTCAATAAAGCTCCATGAAATCATTTTGAGAAAGGAAGAAGCTTCCTCTCGTCTTCACAGCCGGCACTTAAAATATAAAAACCACCTCGTGGTCGTCCTCGACTGAGAAAGTAAAGAATTTAAGAGCGTGTGGGCAGATGCGTTTGCTGATCTGAAGCTGGACTCGAGTCAAAATGACATCAGCTGCGCTCATTTTAAAATGTGCTATAAAAATAGACTTGATTCGATTTGTGACATGGGACAGGAAAACAGCACAAGTCAAGGTCAAGGATAAACTTTTTATCACCAAGGAAACCAGACCTGAAGATGCTGAGGTCTGGTTGCTGTGGCGATGAGACCTGTCCTCTTTACCCTGAAGAGGAATGATGGTAACACACACAGACACACACACAGCTTGATTGTTAGTTTTAAAGACTCCAGGATAAGAAAAGAATCTGAGCTGTTATAACGTTGGCTGATGCTCGTTCTGAAGGTGCCGTCAGGCTGATAAATGTTCGTCTACGCTCAGCACGTGAGAGCACAGCTGTTAGCTGCCCGCTGGAGGAAGAACCGAAAACAAGGAACTAAAAGATGCTAACATGTTCCAAGAAGCTCTTTAGGCTTTAGTTCATTCTGTGTCTGAAATCAGCTGTTTCACCTCCTCAGCCATTAACCCAGCTTTCTTCTGATTGGCTGCCTGTCACAAACAGAAGGTGGGTGAGGTTTCTATAAGTGTGAATGTCTGTATCACAACAAACCAGCACGCAGGTTCGGTCAGAGTTCCCTTTTTATTTGTCTGAAATGTTGAGCTGCAGTGGCTAAATTACATAAATACGTAAGTTCACGTCTTTGTACAAAACATTGTTTAGACACTACAAGGCTGAGAGCAGCGCGGGCGGGGGGGTTCAGGCGTAGCAGCCCGTGTTTCTTTGGGGTGGGGAAGAGGAGACTCCTCAGGCGGATGTGTCAAACAGCTTTTCGATCATCTCCTCCACCTCCTCCGGTCGATACTTGTGATACTTCTCGGGGTTCTTGGTGAAGGAAATGTTGGCACATCTGGAAGAAACGTGAACAATGAAATATGAGTGTGAAAGAAATCCGAGCAGATCATTTCAGCCTTATGGATTAATTATTATTAGGTCACATTTTCCTAATTCAAGACAAGCGCTACATTTAAGTCACTCCGTTAAAATAAATCGGTGCCCAACAGCAGACCTCTCAGAATCAGCTGATTGTTTCTGACAGTAATCGGGTCTTAATCAGATTCTCGTGCTACAGTGTTGTTTAGCTGTTTGTTGCTAGGTGGTTGCCAGGAAACATAATGATGTCATAACATCATTATGTTTCGCAATGAAATTTTTGTGGTTATAAATTAAAAGAGAAGATGGTTTTATGAGGTGTCACATGCATGCATGCTGGTAACATGTGAGGTGACATCTCGAACCTTCAGGGAACTTTCAGGATCCTTTGATGCACCAGTTTTGGCAGCTTCACCCCCCGATCATGCAGGAGGTTTGCAAAAAGAGATTTTTCAGCATGCTTGAAGAAAATCACGGAGGGTGTCGGGATCAATAGAACATGTGAGCATGAGCAGCAGATGAGGGCACTAAATTTCTAAAGTTTAGTAATGTGACTAAAAGGGGGCACGCCATCTTAAGCTATGTAAAAAAGAGCAACAGGCTAAGAGAGCATTCACTGATCCCGAGATGCTCTGTGATTATTTTCTCCATTTCACAGAAGGAATCACAGCTTAAAGGTGAGATTAGTATTGAAAAAAAACAAAAAGAGCCTCCATATTCTTGTTGACCACCCATTAGCTAAAAACCTGTCCCACACAGAAATCTGAATAATGTTCTTATCAACATCTGCCTCCAGAATATTTGACGAAACGATGTTTTAGGTCAAATCCTCGACTCCAGACTTGTTTGTGTGAGAGCGTCTCTGACCTCTGCAGGAAGGCTCTGTAGGCATCAGACACCACCTTCTTCTGATTGTGCCGGATGAGGTCTCTCTGCTCTTTGTCCGGGATGGCCCAACCCTTCTGGATCTTACACAGCTCCTCCAAACCGTCATTGAAGCCCTGACAAAGAGAGACTGACGTCAGTTTCTTACTCAGTAACAGCTGCGTTTTACTTCATTTGATTACAGCCTCACCTTGAATTTGTCTTTAACCACTTGTCTCTCTTTATCTTTCAGCTGGAGGAAGACAAAACACACATGTGTATAAGCCAGAAGCTCCAGTTGCACAAAACAGACGAGAGGCAGCACCAAGGCTTAGTATAAGTTTATAAGATAAATAAGCCTATTATTGACCGGTGAATCATGCAAAGCTACTCTCATAAAGTCCAAGAATAAAAATAAGGATGAGCAGAACGGGTCTCCATAACAACCATTAGATACTGGATATATTTGATCAAACGCACTGAGCGCTGCGTTCGTTACTAACATCTCTGCTAAGTGTTACACCTCCCACAGGAGAAATGCTGACCTTGGTGCCGGGCTGTACGACGGGCATGTTCCTTTCTGTCAGGTGCTCGGTGACTTTCAGCCAGCTGAGGCGGAAACAAAAAGCACGGGCGTGAAGACAAAGACACAAATCGTGTTCGAGTTTGACGCTCGAAGCTTTTATTCACTCACCTGCGCTGGTATGTTTCGATCTGCTGAGTCATGAGCTCTTTGTAGGACGTCTCCGCTCGCTTCTGAGTCACCGTCACCAGCTGGATCAGCTCAGACCTGAGGACGCAGGAAAGCATTTATCCCAAACTAACTTGCTGTCAGTGATCACTTCATTTATTAGGACATTACACCCCAAAAAAATAAAAGCAAAGAAGAAAGTGTGTGTGTTACTCCACTGCACACCCACGCACAGGTCAACAGTCTGACCTCGGACTAACCTCCGAAATCAGACTTCATCAAATATAATTAAGCCCCCCTCCCAGCTGATCTCACTGAGCAGCTGATCTTAGACCGCCCCGTGTTCACGTGTATGTTCCACTCCCTTCGTTGTCATTATGACCACAAACCGTTTCGTGACAGCCGGCGCCTTGGCAACCAAAAAACTGAGCTTTAAGAAAAGTAGGAACAATTGAATTTGACCTCAAACCCTGATCTTTTCTAACTGGAGAAAATTATTAATCTTAACTAATTTACTAGTAGCTTATTTCCTCCATAGTCTGCAGTTGTTTTTATGCTTGAACGATTCACAGGTCAGTGTGAAGGAGTGTCCTCTGAAAAAGGTTCAGAAACTGGACTGAAAGCGAGTGAAAAAGCAGAAAAACTGAAAGCCTTTCTGAAGTCCTTCTCTTTGGGAACAACACGTTTTATATAATTTGATTTATTTATTTAAATGAGGGTTGCTCAAGACTTTAGTTTCTGTTGAATATTTTCAGGAGGTGATGACGTGACTGACGTGTAGGTTTCTCAGCAGGAGCTACTAAGATGACTGACAGACGGATTTTGGCACAGCCTGCAGGTGTAAATGGTAAACGGACAGGTACTGTTAAAGTGCTTTGGATTCAGGATGCATCAGCTTCTGTACAAGAGAAGGCAGGGATCGGTCCACCCAGCTTCTGACTGGTTGATGACCCACGGCCACCCCAAGTCCGGGCAGCTGACCAACGCACGCATGCTCTCCTGGTCATGAGCATTAAATGATGCACGTAAAACCAGACTCAGACGTTATTACTAGCTTTAGTGATCCTGCAACCAAAGTCAGGCCACTTTGAGACTGAAGCTGGTGTTTGCTCTCTGCACAGACTGGGCGGTTATTTTGACACAGGAAACGATGCTTACTTTTCCAGCGACTTGAGGATGTAGTTGTAGTTGTTGTGCAGGAAGATGGCACTCAGAGCCGAATCCTCGTACACTTTGGATTTACTGAGCAGGTTTAGCTGCAAGTTCCCCAAAACCTTACCTGCAAGAACAAAAGAACACAAAATGATGACTAACAGACTAAAACGAGGACTTCTAACACAGAGGCAGTGCACAGCATCTCTGCTTACATATGTAACTACTGAGGAGCCTTTTGTTGAAGTCGGAGGTGTAGCTGGTGGCCGAACTCGTCTCTGTAAGAAATACAGAAGATTTTAGCAGCAGAAGCTACAGATGCACTTTTGAAAGAGTGCATGCATGTGACCGCTAATTTCTTATCTTAAATCCCCCAAAACAAACTGAAAACATTCAAAGCTGACCTCATGAGGGGCCTACACAGTCTCTCTTTGATGCTTACCTCGGGGGTCTAAAGGTATATTGTAAGTGTCCCCCAGTACTAAAAGGGCCGAGGCAAGGCAGAGGACAAGAGAAAGAGAAAGAGGCACAAGTGCAAAAAGGTTAGAAGAGAATAGTTAGTGCAGAGTAAGCATACAGTCATCAGCCAGGCAGCGAGGGGTCGAGGGCTCGAAAAGAGCCGGATGCGGAAAAGGAGGCGAGGCGAAGCTGCGATAATCAAAGCACAGGAGGGAGCCACAAACACTCGCCTATAAAAACCTGAACACATGCTGGATGTGTAGAGGCTCCGTGTGAAAGGAGAGAGATGCAATTAGAAGGGGAAGGAAAAAGGTAGAGGGCTGAAGGTGAAAACAGCCTCAGATAAAGGAGCAGTGAAGGGACAACCTGGGAGCCCGACAGTGTGGAAATTGAGTTGCTTTTATACATCTGAAGTCTGGTCGCCTCATAAATGAGAGTCAGGTTAAAATGAACCTACGGATGTGGATTCATAAGCAACACTTTGCAGTCTGGAGAATCTGGACAACCAGACTGTTGAAAAAAAGCTGTAAATAAAAGACGGCTGCAGCCACTGGTGTGAAAAGCCCTGCTTCTGAAGCATTAAGCTGAGTATATTCACCATTACAAGTTTAGTTTTCTGAAACCAAACGTCAGAGTGTGAAATGATGTGCTTCGGTATCAGCATGTCAGCCATAACTCCTCAAACTCTTATCCCCTTGGAGAGCTTTTCCGAACTGAGGATTTCTGTCACATTTCAGACGCTTAAGGAACCAAATCACTGGGTTGCATCCAAGGTTATTGATGGTGGTCCCTGAATACGCAGAAACTATTTTAAAGGTTGTCAAACTACGTCTTAATAGATTAATACTGAAGATACTCATCATTAAGGGCACCGGGGAGGTCATCAAATCTCGTTTTTATGGGTGAAAGAGTTAAAGTAATCACATTTGTGGTTTTATATGAGAGATAAAAGAAAAAAAAGCGTGTAACACCATCACAGCCTGGCGAGGCAGCAGGACAGCTATGCTAACGAGAGGCTAACGCCTGCGTTGTAGTGGCTGCACCTTGTGAGGCCAGCATGGCTCCAGCTGTCTCGTGGAAGTCCAGCAGCTGCTGCAGGAACAGGATGGCCTGCAGAGGAGAGGACAGAGGAGGTGAGCTCGGCTCGGATTAATCATTAGATGGAGACGCTCCGCTCTTAGCTATCAGCCGTCCCCACGGAGACGGACGAACAGCAGAGTCCTCGCAGGAAGGTGTTGACTCTGAAGTGTAGAAAGAGCGAATAAATGAGTGGTGTTATTTAACCCAGGAGGTAACGGAGCATCAGCTTACATTGCTGGTCAGTTCATGGACCGTTCCGTCCTTGGGCATGTTGTACTCCTTATCAGGATCATTCTGCAGTCACAGGAGAAAGAAGTCATGAATTATGAGTTACTGAGCAGTGAGTGGTGACACACAGAAATGAGAGCTCCGTGCCTTGATGCTGTCTGCAAACTCCTCCAGAGCTTTGGCTCCGATCGTCTCCATGGAGGTGATGAGGGTGGGCAGCTTGTTCTTGGTGCTCGCCGCCGTGCCCTGCAGACAGCACAACACATCATTACAGTAATTCATTTCTGTCATACGCAGACGTTTTGGGAGTTTTTTGGGGTGCAGCTCGGACCTGCAGCGTGGTATCAAACTCAGACTTGTTCATCTTCAGGTGTCTGAGGATGGGGAAGATGGTGAGGACAGCTGAGTAGTCGTGTCGCATTATGGCCCGGCGAGCTGCAGCCACAATGTTTTCTCCCTCCAGCATCAGGTTGTCCAGCGCCTCCTGTGGAGGAGCATGAACTGTTATCATATATTATAAGTATATATCTGACCAAAAAACCAAATATTCAATATACAACACAGAAAAGAGATTTCCAGGATCCTGAAGGTGTTATTAAACCAATTTATTAAAAGTCTTTTAACCTGTGTAAGCTCAGTTCCAACATTAAATCCTAATCAAACCTTCAAATGCTCTAAAAATGTCACAGTTTTGTCTCCCGGACCTGAATGAGGGAGTCGAAGGTCTTCTTCTGGTGGTGCTCGGGGATGATCTCCGCCAGAAGCAGATACTCGCTCTGAGCCAGCTTGACGAAGGCACTGATGCAGTGGATGTAAGAGTCGATCTCGATATCCAGGACATCATCCTTTCCTGGGTGGAAAAGCTCAGTCAGCCAGCAAATCAAACCATCCAACATCAGACGTGGAGTCTGAAGCTGAAAGTAAACCTATGTGTTCTGACTGCAACTGGATTTAAAGAAAATACAAAGTGCTAAAGCTGCAGTGGGCGTGCTTTTATCTACAGGAAAGCCCGCCTCTTTAGATCATCTGTGTTCCTTCTTTTTCCCACATGGTGCCCTCACTCACCTGTGACGGCCCCGTGCTTCTCGGTCAGGGCGTCAGAGAGGTGTTTGACCCGCAGGTCGTGATCGTAACCTGGTGGGTGGGGCGGGACAGCAAGGAGACAGGCCAAGTCAAACCACCGGGGGTCGTGACTAGGCCAGAGGGTGAGAGTGGGGGGGAGACAAACCTGTACCTGGAGCAGCTGTACCGACCACCAGCAAGCACCAGCCGGGGAGGGGGCGGGGGAAAGAAGCAGGGGACGCCCACAAGTTTGGGGGGAGGGGGCAAAAGACCCAGAGGGGTTTGTTTTCTGCATCGACTGATGTCTGAATCAGTCAGTGTGTTAAAACTACGAGACAGAAATCAGCTTGCACAGAAATCACAACAGCTTTCGACTGATCGCAGCTTTTCAAAGTAAAACCATCCTGACACGCTTCCACATGGGTGAGACGCTCCCACGCTTTAATTACTTAATAAGATTAATGTATAATCTTATTATACGATCTATGGCAAATTATTATCAGCCTAGCAGATTTTATCTGGATATTATTAATGTATTTTCTAATTATAAAACTGTTTGTGCAGAAATAAACAAAAATTTCGTCATCAAATATTTTTAATGTGCAAACGCGGAAATCATTTGCAGTTTAAAAAACACACAGACATTAAAAAAAAAAAAAAAAACCCAGGTAGTTTGGAAATACTTTAAGGTAATCTTTGCACCACCTTGTGGTACAGAGTGGTATTACATGGGCACACAGTCTGTCTCTAGTTAAACATCAGTTGACATTTCTGCCATAATACATCCGTGTTTCAGGATTAAAATCATAGCGGTGATTCTTTGCATTCAGTTTTCAAACAACAGTTTGAAACCTTGAAGCCAAGTTTCACCTTTAACAGTGAAGAAGTTTATCAGGATGGATGCGCTTGTTCTTAATGTTGCATGTCGAAATTAATGAGCTGTAGTATCAGCTGTCTTTATTCCAGACCGATTAGAGATGATTTATGACTCATCAAACATGCGCAGCGACTAGCTGTTGTGACTGAGGGGACGTTCTGTGTGCCTGAAACAACAGTACACTGTCAGCATAGAGAAGACCGAGGTGCTTTACCTTCCAAAGGAGTGAGGTTAGAACCCCCCTTTTTCCCATCCAGCCCATGCTGTGAGTACTGTTTCAGAAGGTTCTGAGCCTTGCGAATGGTCCCTGGTCCCAGAAACACAGAGACAGAGTCCAGAGGAGGGTAGCGAGGTCCAGACAGCCCAGAAACAGAAACAGGAAGAAGAAGAAGGAGAAGGAAGAGAAGGGAGAGCTAGAAAGTGAGTGATGAAACACAGACACCACATCCCTCCACCACCGAGGCAGCCAGCAGAGGTTTGTACGTGGGGGAGGAGGGGGAGGCACAGCCTAACACCACGAGAGACAAACTACAGCACTACAGGACACGTGTGCTGAAACACACACTGCCGGGGTGATGTCAGAGAATAAACAGGTTAGATCAGTTATAAACAGCCATCACAATTAATACAATTAACAGTCATATCTATCATTACGATTATTATTACTATTACGAATAATAAACAGTCTGTCACATGGTTTAGAGATGCAAAAATCTGCAGATTATTCATATTTACAGCATTAAAACACAAACTGTTGGCCTGTTAGTGAGTTAGTAAGCAAGCAGCACAATTAAAGGTGCATTCAGCTTTTTTTTTTTTTTTTTTAACATAATTTTTTCTCTGCATGAAAGGTTATTAGTCACGTATTTGTCAAACTCACACAGTTGCAAAGGTTAGCGTGTTAGCAAACACTTTAGATGTGCAGCAATCGCAGAGCAACACTGTCGTCATGTTAGAGTCCAATAAGGCTGTTTGTAGTGGAAGTCGTACCAAAAACTCTGATTTGTTCTGCATGTGCAAAAAAACCGCTTCTTCCTTTCTTTACCTTTCACAGTTAAAGCCCTGAAAACGAAAGTTCTGGACTCTTAGAGCAGGAGAGACATCTCCTGTTAAAGAGCAACTGAATAAAAACAGAAGCAAAAAGTCGAATCTGGGATTTAAAGAAAATCCTGCTTTTGGTTTGACTACTTGTGCAACAGAACAGTTTATTTTCCTGCTTTCTTATTAAATTATTACTTAGTTATATATATTTTTTCACTGTTTCTCCAGTTATTGAAAATATTAAAGAAACGAAATAAAATAATCAATTTTTCTTGTCAAGTACGCACATGAGCATCGTCTTTGAAGCTGAATCCAAAAGCTGTCAAAGACATTGCATTAGTTACATAGCGTAACAGTCAGAACCTTAAGTCTTCATTAAATTACGAGAGTTTCAATTTAAATTTTGGCTTATAATCATCATTTAATCCTCACTTTCATTGTTCTTTTTTGTTACAAATCAAACACATCCTCTCAAACGCACCCAAGATGACTAAAACTGACACCTTTGTTCTTTGGTTTCTTAAAAAGTTCAGTTTCAGTAATATTTGTATCTTGTTAAGTCACCAAGATTAAAGTTATTGTCTAAAACAAACACCTTAATCACGCAGCCCTCATACAGACGCTAGAGAAAACTGTTAAACCAGAACAGTGACAGGAAGTGTGCGTATTTTTGCACATGCGTCAGATCAGTCAGAGGGTTCACCTGTTTCACCTTTGACCTCAACTCTTTAACCAGGTGTGTGCAGGTAAAGCAGGCGATCAGCTAGTGACAAACTCCTTGAATCAACACTACGCACAGTTATATTATGAACCTGTCACGCACACACACGCACGCACGCACTGCAGCCTTTAGTTTCATGGCAGCAGTGAGCGCAAGTAGAACAGATTAAAACTCCATCATCACACTAGAAACACAAAGACAGGTAAACTTTAGGAATGTCCAGTTAGTTATTATCATAAACGCTGTGAATCCATTTCTGCTGCTCTGAAAGTCCAAATCAAAGTGACACCAGGTTCCCTGGAGAGGCCTCAATGACACAACCGCCTAAAAGGGCAGAGCAAGTGGTGACTGCAGACTGCTGCTCTCTCCTCCCCCCTCCTGACTCTAGTCTCTTGTCACTGTTGGTGACATGAGACGGTACCTACAGCCCATTCAGGTTCATCCAGCTCCTCCAGGAGGTCTCAGGAGTTACCAGGAGACAGGCTGAGAGCTGGACAGGCCCGTAGGAGGGCATCAGTCCTGCGACAGGACTGGTATTTGACGTGACCGAGCCTGGAAACACCACAGCGTCTGCCACCTGTGCTCAGCATGAACCTGCTTTCATGTGAGAGGAGAACAGGGCACCAGTAACAGACCTGTCAGTTCTGCTGCTCTCTGGCTGTGATCACAAGCCCCGTTAAAGGACGTCAGGATCTCACACAGTCTGTTCTGAAAGTTTGTGCAGAAACATGTACACGAGGAGGCCGCTGAAGGTCACTTTGTAGCGCTCTGCCAGCTCTTCCTCTTCCTCCCTAATTTATGCTTTAATTCTGTTGGGTCGCCTGAGGGTTAAAGTGAGTGAGTGCCTGTTATTAGTACAGCAGTTTCTGCATATGCATGCATGTACAGGTGTATGTGTTAACTCTTAGACTCTGATAATGAAGACTTTGTTTCTCAATCACACAACAATACGTTTGTTTGTTTGTTTGTTTGTTTGTTTGTTTTAATCAACTAAATTTCAGGAAAATAGACTACAGCTAATCCTTACACATAATCTTATAGAGCCAGGCTCAATCATAAATAATAATTTTTATTCTATGCAATTACAAATTATTCATTTCTAGTAAAATTGTAAAGAAATTTCATCAAGTTTTGTTTATCGGCCGTTTGGTGGCAACCTCCACCTTACTCATCTCATCACCGAAACGCTCTGCCGTGAAACTAGAGGTTAAAATCTCCACTGGATGACCTACTACACCATTCAACAGGACAAATAAACCTCTGCCGTCTCAGCTGCTAACAAAACGACACAAACCATCACGCTGTCTCTGATTTGCCGTGAAATGTGGCATCTGACGTACACAAGCAAGCACGAGGCACACGCTAGAGCTTTGTGTTTACCTGGGATGTAGACTGTCATCACAACACAGGGATTATGAAAGAGGAGAGGATGAAGGATTAGTTAGACCAGGGTGTAATATCACAGAGAAACACAGTGTGTGGTAGAAGTGCGCTACAGCTCGGTGAACTGAGTGATTACAGAGAGATTGTGGAGGACAACCTGAGACAGAAACAGACTGTGGATGTAGTGAAGAGTGTATAATATCCGTCACTATGCAGGATCATGCGTGTTTGTTAGGTTGATCTATGGAAGATGGATTGGACAGCGAGTTGGGATTACAGACTGGAGTGGCGTGATTGTGGATTCGGTCTGAATGAGGCGCATCTGTTGCTGACCTGGTCTCTTCGGGGCCTTTTTAGTTGGCGTGTCCTTGCGCTTGGTTTGGACGGCAGGCGAGTAGAGGACACCGGAGGAGGCGCTGTTCTTGCGGAAATGCTCTTTGAGGCCTTTGATGGAGCGATCGAGCTGGTTGGAGCGGATCTGGAAGTAGACGTTCATGAAGTCTGCAGGAAGAGGAGAGCAAAATTAGACACAATCTTTCCAGTTTCTCTACACCGCCTGCACATTTCAAAGCCATTTTAATGATTTACATCACCCCAGCTCTGGTGGTAAGATGATTTATAGATTGTAAGGTAGAGGACCTCCAATATTAGACAGAAAAGCCCAACAATCAGATGATATTTGCAATTGTGGTAAAGAACTTCCTTTAAACAGGAAGCGACCTCCAACAAACAAACACAGCTGTACCCTGATTACGTCCGTATTCCACCAGCCAGCCGGCGATGCAGATGATGTCCTGGAGCACGGCCTCGGGCAGGTGTTCCAGCATCACATCCTCCTGGACCTCCAGCTCCTCATCCACGCTGATGGCGTCCAGGATGAGGATGGGGGGAACAGGTTTGCTGTAGCGGGTCAGGAGGCTGCGGAATTCGCCCTCCAGCAGCTCCTTCCCCTTTTCAAAGCGTGCTTTCTGCAGAAGAAGATACGGTCATGGAATTAGTGACTCCAACTCGGAACGGCACGGAGACTGAAGCAGACGTCTGAAGTGAGGAAGAAGTGCATGAAATGTACACATAAATGAATGTAGGAATAACAGCATGATTCATTCAGAGAGCTACGCGGTGTATAATGTTGTTCAGTCACTAAATACGTGGAACTAATGGCTCAGATAGCTTTTCCTCTTTCAGACACAAGTGGCTAAAAGGAATATTTTCACTGTAGTACTGTGAGAACCACGACACATTTGGACACAAACAGAAAATGGTCGAGAATACTGTGCAGAAATCTGAACTCTCAGAAAAAGCTGCGATCGGATCATTTTATGTATTTTGCTAGAAAAAACACAAGGGCACAGAATCTGTCGGGACTGAAATGTTATGACAGCAGATCGACCTCGTTAGATCTCCAAAAACAGAAAGTCAATCACATCACAGGCACAAATGTGACAGTTACTTTTAATTATTTCCAGGGTGGTCCATCTCTTTCCAAGAAGTCCATATAGCCTTAAATATATAAATACAGTCACTTTAAGCTTTTACTAAGCAGTGATGAAGGTCCAATAATGTCTTTTAAATTGACAAGGCCAAAACCTATTAGTTTCTCATGATTAACTACGACTGGTAGTTTCTCTTTGCCAGTATATAAAAAGATGTGTTTCACAGAAACCACCAATGTTCAAGCCTGGCATGAACCGGGGTCAGCTGGACACCACATCACTGTCCATGACATCCATGATGAGTGGATTGTAAACGTTTTTACCACAACTGTAATTTCAGAGAGGCAGATACTTTACCACTGTGTTGAGCTCAGGGCTGTCTGGGTTGTTGTCTTGAAAGTATTCGACAGCTTTCTGAATTCTTGCAATGCAAGCAAGATACTCGTCCAGTCTGCCCGTAGGTCTGAGACAGAAAAAGGAAATTAGTATACATACAGTTTGTGTAACCACAAAACATTTGCATACGAAGGTCATCCCCACCCCTCTCTGATGATCCTGTCCGTGTCTTTGGCCACATGGTAGTAGCTGATGACGTGATCCATGCAAGACAGAGTTTTGTCCACGTTCTCCTGCAGCCGTTGCAGGTTTTCCGTCTGCTTGTGAACCGGGATGATGGAGTTCTCCAGCTGCATCAGGCGGCTCTCGAACGAAGACAGGATGGAGACCTTTTGGGAAAGAAATAGAGGTCAAAAACCAGTTGGGCTATAAAAGCACCTTAAATAATGAGTCACATAAGAGATTCAGCTGAAGTGGGGTGAAAGCTGAAAAATGACATCACAGGCTGCTTTCATCATCTCACTCACTCTTCATGTTCATAATAGAAATGATAGAAACTATAAGTAAATATTTCAATCCAAGTACAAGAATAAGAGGCTTTATTTTTAATTATGGGTTAAAGTACTATCGAATGGAGATCAGCCCACCGCCTTTAATTATGAGAATTATGAGTGTCAGCCTGAGCTGTCCCTGGGTGTGTTTGGACCGTCCTACCATGTTTTTGGTCAGCTGATCGCTCTTTTCCAGGTTCTCCCGGATGAACGACAGCGTCTCCTGCTCCTGTAACAGCAGAAAGAAAACCAACCACTCACTCATTTCACTCTGAAGACATTAAAGACACTCTTTCGGTCAATAAGCATCATTTTAAACGCGGGTGTTGAGCTACACTGGTGGGTTGTAGGTCGAAGGGAAGCTTCCTTCCTCTCAAGCCACCAGCTGTCTGACCTGCTTCAGTTTCTCCTCGATCTCCCGCTTCCTGGCGGACGCATCCTCCGTAGGAATCATCCTGGAGGAAATTTAAAGCAAAGGAGTCTCTTCGGCGGCTAAAGCGTGACTAAGTTACCGATTTAGATAATAAAAACAACAACAACGACACCACTGAGCCGCTGTCATGGATAGCTAAAAGCGATGCGGTTAAGCTAGTTTGGTTAGCCGTAACAGGGCAAGGGTTTCCGGTTAGGATTTCAAAATAAAATAGCCATCGGCACTAAACTGAAAAGTGAAAAAAAATGCTCATCGATTTTTTTTTCCTCCAATCAGTTTGTACCAATGACATTGGTTTGTACTGAATCAAGATTACGTTAACTAACTGCAAATGAAAGTAAACACACAATTCTTCTTCAGTTGTCTTTTATTATGGAGCACAGTAATTTTTCTCTGTATAGTCTTTAACTAAAATTGTGAAACCTGTGTCGCACACCCCTAAAAACCTTTAGAAATGAATGCATTTACTGTTTGTATGACAATAAAATGAACAGAGTAAAGCAGTATGGGGTGCACATCCCACAAAAGTGTTAATTTTATTTTTAAATGTTTAAAAATTTTATATCCTTTAATATAAGATTTTTGTCCCCACATTTATCACAGTTAGTAGCCCTTTTTGCTAGACAATGTGTCACCTTTATTATGGAGGTCAAATACACCAACTTCCGGTAATGGGTGTCTATCCCGGACATGTTTTTTAAAAACTTTATTTACAAAAGACAAACACAGGTAATTGTCTATGAAATCAGAAGATTTCTGAGTTTAAAGAAAACTTTTCAACACTGATATTTTGTTATTCAGGCACTTTTAGACAAACGCCTAAATGTTTATGTTATTTGTGAACTGTAATCAAGAGTTCTCAAAGTTTTTGAGAAAAAGAAATGTTGGGAAAGATGCCATTACGTGCAATGTCGAGAACCAACTCCTAGGGGTCGCTGTATCATTCAGTACTAAAATAACACATTAAAAGCATGAAGAACACAGTCATAACTAATTACATAAATAAATAACAGACCGTGGAATTTGCAGACTAAATGTTTAAACTCAGTTCATTAAGTAATATTTTTACTTTTGAGTCTATAAATTTCTGAAATTAAACAAAACCCTGGAACAGTGCTGGTTAAAGGAAACAAATCTTATTTATATCCTTTTTCTTGAATCTCTAACAGGATTCTTTTTATTCGACACTTTTCTTTTCTTAGAGGCTCCCGCATTTTAAAAAGCTGGAACTTTTTCTGGACTCTCCGCATAAATAAACACGAGCACCCAGTTCGGAAAAACGTTACAAATGTATTTGCACAAAAGAAGATGCTTCACACAGTTTGTTCACTTACATATTTACAAATCTCCTGTTACACTTTACACACTTTCATACAAACCAAAATGTCTGTACGACATCTCTCAAAGGTTCTTTAATTACTGTTAATTTATAAAGTTATTAGAGACAATGAAATCTAACTAAAAGAAGAAATCTGAAGGAGCTGTGAGACTACGACACAAACTACAGTCACTCCGACTTGTCAGCCGTTTTACACTCATGCAGTTCTCGGTAATCAGAGGATTTATTGCTGGACCTCAGGTAGTGAAAACACACCTCTGACCTCTGTGTGGAAGATAAAGACAACTCTACTGAGTCATTTAAAGAAAGCACATAATTAAAAACTGCCCTTTCCAGTTCTGAGAACGCTTTCCTGCCCATGTCCACTGAGAAAAAGAAGGTTTATATATCAGAGCATTGAGAATAATGCAGATGTGTTAACGCCGCAGAGCTGCACTCTACGATTCCTCTTCCTTAGACAGCGTCTGAGGAGGAAAAACACAAAGGACTTCTTAGAAACAGGACAAATGCTTTTAATTAAAAGACTATTTATTGTGTGTTTTATTAAAACTCACCTGTTTGAGGAACTGTCGTCCAAAATAATTGGTAGCCATGTTCTTTAAGCTGGTCTTCCCTCCCACTTTGCACCTCACGTATCCGTATAGGTTGGCGCCTTGCAGCACGACGCCCATGATCACGACGGGCTGTGAGGAAGACGACAGTTTTCTGAAATAAACCCTGGTCATATTTCATATTCCCCTTATTATCAATAAATCCCACGAAAAGGCTGAAGGTGAACCACGTGTATCCTCTTCACTGCTTGTATGTTCCCAGAACACGTGAGAACATGCTGAATACACAATAAAGAGATGCACTGATCTTTTTAAGGGAGTAACTCACAGTCACAGGGAGTTTATGATTGCAGTTGTTGTCTGGGCCAACAGCTGGAACCATCTTTTTCTATGATGATTCCTTGCAAAGATTTTGATCTTAGTTTTCATTTTTTAAAAGTTATGACTTCTAAACTTAACTGGGACCTTACTGCATCAGGTCATGTGAACTTCAAACGAGCATATAGCCTCCAGGGAAAACACTGGGTGCATGTCTGACACATCACCTCATAACGGTTCAAATCACACTGTGAGCATTTCAGACATGAAGCATACAGGCTGAAGGAGTCCACTGTGTTCCTGTGTCTGACTCCCAAACAACAATCTCAAGGGATAAAACCTTTAGTTTAAAAGTGACGTTTCTCTTGGGGCCACTTGGAGGTGTCTCCCAAAGTGAGTCCGTCCACACAGACTCTCATCTTAAACTCCACAGAGAACGTTTTTACCCTCTACGGACCGTTTCTTCTTTCTTAGGTGGTTTTAGGTAACGTAGCTGCTAGCCATCTGCTAGCCAAAACCAAAACACTGAGGCTTCAAACTGTGAAGCCCAAAACCACAGGACGGCTATGCCCATCTTTCATATACAGTGTATATGCAAATAAAAGTCCCACAAAGGAGCCAATGAGTCTCATCGTCCGTGAGCTGCAAACTGATAGTGATAAGTGATTCTTTTTATAACAAATTTCCACAAACCAATTAAGTTAGCTTAAAACTTAGAGATATTACTCAGAATTGCGTCCCCCCTCGTGCAGCAGGAAAACTTTGAAAGCAAGCTTGAGATGCAGGGTGAAAGCAGGGAAACACTGGCTCATGTTTACCAAGTAATTATTGTCTAATTTTACTTAAGAAAGCACCAAGAACTAATAGGGTTCAGTGGGCTTAGAGCTGAGAGACACAGCCAGGAGCTAGGTTTTATTTTCTCAGTGCTGTGAGAAAAATAAAGGTGTAACTGAGTTTTAATGGGATTTGTTGATAATAAGAAAAACAGCATTTGTCCAATCACTAAAATCTAACAACTTACCATCCATTTAATCCTGAATGAAAACAGGGTGCTAAAGACAAAGATGACCCAGAGGACGGGGCAAACAATCAGTCCGAGCCAGAATATCCTGGACTCTGAATCTGATGCTTGCTGCTTCCCTGTACCCTGAAGAAGAAGGAAACAGGATATCTCAGTTAGACATCTGCGAACACGATAAGACCCGTTGACAGTAAACATCTGGACGAAGCAACCTGACACAGAGCAACAGGTCAGGGTCATGTTTAGCCAAAGCCCCGTGTCGGAGCCGGAGCAGATTCAGCAGAGATGCATCTCACCTTCCTCGACTCAAACACCCAGTGGCTTCGTCCATCATCATCCACCTGATTCCACCACCGCAGACCAACCATCAACCTCCCAGTGATGTTCTGCAGATGGAGAGATTTATGGCTTTGTTACGGAGATTCTGGCAAATCTTATTCACAAGGTGCTGGATCCGAGTACCGTTTCCTAGGTTTAATTATTTACACAAGTCTTTGTGTAACAGTGTAACTCTGGAAACCGAGTCCAGTTGCACATCTGACTTACAGAGGAAAACCAGAGCTATTATCCAAGGAGATTCTACAGCAGATTTAAGCAAGACTAACAAAAAAAAAAAAGGCACTCGATGAGCCAATCAATCGCCCGAACAGAAAAAACATCAACCCTGGCCGGCACATGTACGCACTAAAGGGTCACAACAGCTTCAGCTGTGTGGTAAAAAGCACCACATACTTGATACTGCAGAAAAGATCTTTTATCAGATCTAGCTCCTGATTTTCTACATGCACTTTTTCTATTCCAGTAAAAGTTTAAATGCTGCTTTCAACTGCCCCCTTGCCCCAAGGCGTCACCACAGCACATAGCGCCGCACACTTGATTTGGCAGTTTCCCACCAGATGATTTCCATTTAACCCCAAAAAGGATTTGCGTCTCCAGCTGGAATCGTACCAGCAACCTGCCAAGCAAGTGCGCTAACCACTATACCAGTGACCACTGAAATTAATCCCAGAGCTCTTCAGTCATTCATTTCTGTTGGTAAGGGATTCAGATTCATTCCAAGGAGGCAGTTTTGTTGTGAGATTTGCTTTTAGAAGGACTAGTTTATGTGGACTTCACTACCATGAGGCTATTTAAACCGATTCAACGTGAACATCATCAGCACACAATAACACATCCACAAGAACCAGTGAATGACAAACGTCCAGAAAGCAGAGGTCTTTAAATCTCACTGCAGGTAGTGAAGCTACAGTGATCAAATACAGAAAACAGCACATTACAAATGTCAGACTGGCCTGTAAACTCTGCCTCAACTCATCATGATTATGACTGGATGCCTGCAGTACCGGCTGTAGAATATCCGGTCTCCAAGGCTCCGAACTGTCTGTCAAAAAACACGATGGTTGAATCTGTGACCAAAACCTTCACCGTGTTTTTCTCACGACTGCTCATCATCTCATCCGAGCACCAACAATTCATTCAAAACTAATAATCAATAACCAAAAAGTGAGAACAGTTGGCAAGCTTTTAGGACGATTTCCAATCTTGCTTTTAAGCTCCTGATAAAACTTTTATCTCATCTGGTCCACTCTTCCTCTGAGTTCTGCCTTTAAGAAATGCACAACAAAAAGCAAAAAAGCCCCACCAAGATCATTAATTATAATCAATACAACAACTCCTTCCATCACTACAGTGGAGATATTAAAGTGATAAGAGAAACACCTTTACTGTCCAGAAGTCACATGAGAGCAGAAGGATTATTGTGACCATGCAGGCGATGAAGCTCCCGCTGATGAGCTCAGCGAGCAGGTACACGATGATGGCAATGACTCTGAAGAAGAGGTGGAAGAAGGCCGCTACCGGATGCCTGGTGACACATTTTTAACTAATTTAATATGACATGGAGTATCCACACAGATCAATAACCAATATTGTGTCATATTAATAACAATTATAATCATTATTATTAATAAGAACAAATAATAATAACAACATTTAAAAAATCTTTTTGTTTTTTTGCTCAGTGTAAAACTTAAACATGGGTCTCTGACAACAGCAAAAGTCATTGTAAAATATCGTCTCTAATAGTCAACTAGCCCACATCAGATGATAGTGATAACTTAGCAGACAGATCAGTGAAGTCCTTGTAAAAGTGTGAAAACATACCAAACAAACCCCACAAACCATTAGCCATTATTATCTTGATATCAAGTAGTGACTTGCACAACAAAGCTTTTCCTTGAAATGTAAATAAATCATTTAATGAAGTATAGACTATCTTCTCTGCAGAGAAAATGTTAAATCCTTCAGCGATCTGCAAACGTACTTAACGCCTGACTTCTTCGACCTTTTCCCTGCGTCATCCTCGGCATCAAACAGAGACACGTCTTCATCGTTGGTATCCTGAGGGATCAATAAGAAAGAGGCTTAAACCTCAACATAAAACAATGTGAAAAAAAGCATCGTCTCTCTGTGGTCAGGGATCATCAGAGGAGTAAGATTGATAACAGTCTGTTTGAAACAGAAATCTGGAGGTTTCGTAATACTAATACACAATTCTGTAACAGGTTGCTTCTGAGCTTTTAACATCATAAATAAATACTCCAAGTCCTCACAGTACAACTTCATATGCCTCCAAACACACTCCTGTTGTTGGGGTAATAGTTTTTTTATTCCTATATTATCAAGAGATTCAGTTTACTAACTTAAATGGCAAAATAAATCTTCAAATGCTGACACTTAACAAGTTAGAACCAACAAGAGTACCAAGAAAATAAACAAACAGTTGTTATTATTATTGAAAACGTGCCATTTCTTCATTATTGTTGCACTCTAACAGCTGTCAGCTCAAACACAGAGCAGGCCTAACACTAAGATCTTATTAAGCTTGTGAAATTGTTTTGAAATGTTAGCAGGATAACTTCAAGTGAATTTGACCTGTAAACTGGAAAAACCAAATACTTACCAGCTGCTTAAAGAACAGCAGCTGATAATATAGATTGGAGTGAGGTCACTTTAGCTTCTCTGCGCCAGGAGACAGTTTAAAACTCACACTTTTGTTTGCTCGGATTATAAACAGCACAAACATTGCCACGTTAGCAGGATGTAGCTTCATTTCACGTTTTGTCACCTTGTTTGCTGATGTTTGTTCAGGCTGATGCTAACTTTAGCAATCGTTAGCTGACACCGCAACACAACAGATGCCCTCAAGCGTAAATTTGCCGTATACAGGTTTAAAGCGAACATTCTGATCGTGGGTTTTTTTCGAGTAGAAAACTTCATCGTTTGATCCGTTTTAAAAACATCATTTTAACGGTAGCTGAGCAGAAATGTTAGCGTCTTAACTACTTAGCAATATTAGCACCACAGATGTCCAACCGAGCTGGGAAACATTCTTCAGCTTCATTAAATAATTTTACTGACGGTTAATGCTTAAACAATCTCACGTTAGCTGTTAACCACACTAAGACATTATTTAAAAAAAAATAGGAAATAAAAGTGCTCTTACTTACGGCTAGCATCTTGAAACTTGGTCAGGCTCTTCCTGCTTACATGCTCAGTTACACGTCACTATAGTCAGGTGACCAAAACGCGCCACGTCACTGAAGTCCACGCGGTTCCTCGATAAAAAAAAGTGTTTGACGTAATATTTTATTTTTGAAAACAACATTTTTTGTATCATAAAATGATTACCATACATAACATTAAATATATATTTAATAAAAATAATAATAAAATTATGAGTATAAAAATCTTTATACTCATAATTTGCAATAATGTGTTTTTTTGCATTCTATTTTTTTGTTTTATTCCAATTTCTTTTCTTTTTTTTAATGTGTTAATTGATTCATTAAATTATGTACTCGTTGTATACTATTACTCAGAAATGACAGGTATAGAAATATTATGTTCATAGTGTCGTATATATAGGTTAATCCATCCAATTCAGGGTTGCAGGGCAGGGGAGGGGGTACACCCCAAAAAGGTCTCCAGGGATCCTGACATAAAAAGACAGTCAATCACACTCACATTCGCACCTATGGCTAATTTAGAATCGGCAGTCATCCAAACATCTGCATGTCTTTGTACTATGGGAGGAAGCCAGAGTACCTGAGAGAACTGACAAGTGGAGAACATGCAAGCTGCTGCACATAGATAGGCTTGGATTCAAAGCCCAGACCTTCTTGCTGTGAGATTAGGTACAGAATAATCATCAAAGATATTTTAAGTGTACTGATTTTTTTTTTTTTAATCCTAGCTTTGGTAATTTAACAGCACATATGGTTCACATGGATGAAAGACGCCTCTGAGCACAGAGGCACAAACTACAAACCATGCATGTAATGCTTTGTCTCTCCACCTGTGTACATGTCTGATATTTTGTCTCCGTTTGTGACTCTTCCTGCTCATGTTGCATCTCTTTATTTCTTTAATGTACATATGCAGGGTTTTTTTTTTTTTTTTTGTCAATGTCTGCATTTGTTTTGCAGCTTTTGTTCACTTTTACATCAGTGAAGAAATGTGCCTTTTTCTCCCTAAGTGACCAAAGCTTGGTGCAGTCATTTTTCTTTTTCACCAGCAAATCTCGAGGTTGATTTACTTGAAAAAACCACCACAGTGTGGCCTCTGCTCTACTGAGAGATACAACAAGGAAGCTTTCCAAAAAGTATTAAACAAGGCTAAGGAATAACCCATGTCTGGAAAAGCTAAAACAAAAATTTTGAATCCTAAATGATCCACTTAGTTTTTGAAATCATATTTATGTGTGCCACAGAAATGTACATTAGCAAATGTTTAAAGGATGCTGTTGATTTGATGACGTAGAGTGTTTCAAACTGTCAAGAAAACCAGGCATTTGTTTTGCAAATGCAGATACGCCTTTTTATTTGCATACAGAAAATATAGAACATTTTCAGTAACAGTAGTCCCAAAGACACACCGGTGAAGAGCATCAACATGACGTGATCCCAAATGAGAAACAGATTATTAGTTTTGCAACAAAAATAAATCTCCTGTAAACAAGTTGTAACATTTCAAGAGTTCATCTCTTATTTTCCAGAATCAGTACAATACTCTCCTATACTTAAGTTCTCCAAGAAAAGCGGTTTATGAAGCGATATCTTCTGTTGTAGGTGAGGTGGGAGGAGACGGGGTTTTCAGAGGTAAAGGTTCCCCAGGCGCCACCAAGAGAACATTGTTCTCTTTCTTGGGCAGCCAGACCGCCGGGTACAAAGGCTCCAGGAACTCCGTCTGGTACTTGTGGATGAGCGTCATGGTCTCACCCACCCCGTAGAATGCCAGTAGGCCTTGCGTGTAGTCCACATAAACCCCAATATGACTAAACATCTCCACATTTAGGGGAGTTTCCACATCACAGTGCCAGGTGGAGAAGTTACGGCCATTCCACTGAAGGCACCAGGAGAAGCTGTTCCCCGTGATGCAGCTGTTGCTCTCATTGCCCTTGCGGTCGATGCTCTTGTACGTGAGGCCAACATGAGTGCTTTCACCTTGGATGTCTGCCTCAAAGTAGTGCCGGCCCATGTAGAAGCTCTCCACAGCCAGAACCTGACGGCAGTTCTCAAAGCGCTCGGGCACATCGGGGTAAGGATGCTGCCAGGGCGAGGTGTTTGTCACCTTTTTGTTATCCTCCGTTAGGCGGAGGAACTTATGAGCCGTTGCAGGATCAAAACTCACTTGGGCAGCATCTGCAAAGGATTGTTGAACATGTCAGTTTACTTATGTTACGCAACAAGACAGGCAGGAAAGCAAATAGCTGTAGTCCCAAAGATTACAGTGTAAACACAGATACTTCAAAACTACACTACAATATGGCTGTTGTGCTATATTAAGTAGTTTTGTGTTAGCTAATTTATAGTTTATGTTTCAGTAGACTCACTGTAGATTTACAAAGTTGTGACACCATGAGTGCAATGGGTACCTGGTTGGGATGCTGGGAAACCATGAGGAAAACATAATGCAATGATCAGGTGAAAACCAAACTTCGAGTAGATTTCCATAAAATGATACTGCATTATGTTTACTGGCTTGTCCTTATTTTCTGCCATATGCATACTACTATAATGGTGGATGTCAGTCAGTGCATTAATGTAATTCCGTAATTCCCATGAGGGAAATTAAAAAGTTGCAATCCTGCCCTGAACACTCAGTTTCACACAGTTCTCTTTTATTTCTACTCTTGGCTCTGTATTATGTCAGTGGAGGGGAATACCCGGAATATGGTCATCTCATTTACACAACTCTAGCTGTGCCCACAGAAGCTCCGCTCATGTTGTTGGTCTATTTGGTCTTTTGAACAGTACATTTGTTTTGATAGCTTGGTCGGCATTATCAGCAAAAAGCCAGACTCGTTCTCGGTGGGTGCTGTTCTATGTTCCTACTGCCTGCTGTGGTCACAAGCTCTGAGTAGTGACAGAGAGAATGAGATCGTGGGTAAAACCTGTGGAAATGAGGGACTTGGTCATTTTGGGAGGCATTCAGAGTAAAGTCCCTATTTCTCTACATCCACAGGAACCACTTGAAAGTGGTTGGGGATCGCTCAGGATGCCTTCTGAACAAGGCCCGACAGCGTCTCTACCACCTCAGATGCTTGAGAGACTTCCAACTGCCCTCCAAGGTGCTCAGGAACTTTTACTCCTGCACCATAGAGAGCATCCTGACGGGAAACATCTCAACCTGGTTCGGGAACAGCACCATGCAGGACAGACGAGCTCTACAGAGGGTTGTGCGGTCAGCTGAGCGCACCATCCGCTCCGAGCTCCCTGACCTGCACTCAATCTACAGCAGGCGGTGCTGGACCAAGGCCAGGAAGATCATGAAGGACCTCAGCCATCCCAACAACAGACTGTTCTCTCTGCTGAGGTCAGGAAAGCGATTCCGCTCCCTGAAGACCAACACAGAGAGACTGAGGAGGAGCTTCTTCCCGCAGGCGATACGGTCTCTCAATCACACCACCACACAGTACTGACCCACACATATGGTTCTTACACACACACTGGACATTCTGGACATTTGTTTACACTAGTGGCCACTGCACAACTACACTGCGTGGTCATCAAATCAAATCACTTTATCACAAGTCACTTAAATAAATCACTTTTAAGCATATTTGCACTGCACAAGACACTTAAATATGTGGACTGCACAACCCTGGACATTACATTTCTTTCATTACCATTTATTAGTTGTACAGCTGCTCTTATTGTTCTATATTTCTTCATATACACAATATATTTTCTATATTGTGTATTGTGTATTTTGTTGTACAGTTATTTTATTTTTAACTTTAATTTTTATATTTTATTTTATTCTTTCCAAGTTAAATTTACCCTTCATTTTAATTTTCATATTTATTTCCTATCCTAGTCATAGTCTTTTATTTTAGGTCACGAGCAGTTGTCTAAGCATTTCACTGCATATCGTACTGTGTATGACTGTGTATGAGACAAATAAAATTTGAATTTGATTTGAACTCCTAGGTAAGCATGCCCGGGCATTTCCTACTGGAGGGAGAACCTGGGGTAGACCCAGGACACTGTGCTTGTGGTCTTCATGAAATTTGCATCCTTGCCAAAACCCCATATTCATTATAGTTTTAAAATAAAAGACAGACTATAAGCACATCCAAGGTTGTTTTTTTGGTTCTGGAAGCATATTGTTTGCTACTCGCAGTTCTTAACTACAGAAATACTTACACTTTAGAAAGTCCGCCCGTGTCACCGGATCTGGAAGAGACTTGATGTGTTTTGCTGCAACAATAGCCTTTACTGTTGTCTTTATTCCCACTTTGTCTGCAAAAAAAGAAGACATATTTTAGTGTCTCATAAGACAACATGTTTAGATTTCTCTTCATGAATTTTGTTTTTATTATGCACAAAAACGTTCTCCAGGGCAACAGGTATGTGCTGTCGTTTCATTTCTTATGGTGGCATATTAATGACTAGCAAAGCAGTTTCATCATGAATCATACATTCTGCTCTTGCTCAAGCACAGCTAAAAATTCTTTACAAGACTGAACATGCCCCGGCAGCTACACAACTCTCTGGATCTCTGTGCTCTTGCTGCTGCTATGTAGTTGCTTCCTGCTCACTTTCTTACCGCTTTTGCACGTTTCTTTGACTTTGCCTATGTATGAAGACACCAGCAAGGCACAGAGCTCCTGCGTGGAGTCAACAATCACACGGCTGAAGTGATTCAGACAGTCCATCAAGCCGATGTAGACACCAGGCAGGGAGATATCAGTGGCTTCTTTTTTCCACTCTGCGTATTCCTAGAAAACAAACACGGTGGCATTCAGGAATGAAAACTGAGGCATTTCTGCTGCCTTTAGGCACGAATGACTTCCTGTCTTGTTGAGAAATACAGCAAATGGTAAAGGAAAAGGAAAAGGCAGACAGTGGAAGCATTTCATCATTCGCAAAAGATTTTTATATATATATATATATATATATATATATATATATACATACATACACACACACTTAAATAAATTTGAATTTTAACTGAGATGCCTGTTAAACAACAATATATTTAATTCATAGACTTCATAAAGACTGTCTCACAAGTGCAGTTGTATG